AATATCCTACACTTGGATTGCTACAGTTCAACGCAGGAGTTTACAATCGCCATAGTGAAAGGTCACGAGGCAATACATACAAACGTTGAGTCATATATTCCACTACCTGCAGATACAGAGCAGACACTGGTTGTCGAAGAGGTTGAAACAAGAAGGCTACCTCGAAAATTTGATGATAGTCCTACAACTGAAATGGATAGAACGTGCAGGGTAAAGCGAAGAGAAATTGAATTCTATGAAAAAGTTTGAGGTGAAATGGTTAACTTATTGGAAGGCTTAACGCTATATACTGGAAGAGGATTTTTGACTATGTATTTGATCTGCAAGGTAGAGACCGAGCTGGTCCACTGAAGTCAAGAACATATGCAAAACCTCGAAAATGGATGTTTGGGAAAGGTCGAATAATTATTCAATGCGGATGTTGCTACAATTTCATTGAAGACCGGCATGGGAACCCCCTTGGTATCTTAAGATATGATGAGGTGGATCCGATGCCTTATGTGATAAAGAGAATGGTCAAAAGATCAATTCAATGGAGTATACTACCGCCGGACTGCATACCGAACAACTACATCATCAATATTTATGATGAAGGGAGCTGCATTCCTCCCCATATTGAACATCATGATTTTGTTAGACCCTTTTGCACAGTGTCTATAGTCTTCGGGAAAGAGATTGATATCGTTGGTCCCGGGGAATTCAGAGGGTCCGTTGAAATTTCACTGCCACTGGGATCGGTGCTGGTCTTAGATGGAAATGGTGTTGATTTAGCTAAACATTGCATCCCGGGAGTACGACATCCCTGAGTTTCCATAACCTTCAAAAGAATGCAAGAGTGTGTCTTAGTAGTTCAGCTCGATCAGGAGCTCACCACGACGAAGATGATCAACAGGATACCTTCTTTTTGTGCCAAGTTTTGTGTAGACATGATATATGTACCAAATATGTTCAGTGAATGATATGTATTTAGTATTTGATGATTCAAATATGTTCAACATGTTGTATTTTGATGCTCTAGCATGTACTCAGTTTGTAGCTCATTTTTGGAGTAGATTAATGAAATTTCATTCAAGTTTCAACTTGTTTATTAAATTACCCTCTGTTGTGTGGTTGATAAGAAGCCATACAAACAAAGAACGATACAACAAAAGATCGATATCAACGATACAACGAAAGATCGATATCAAAACTTCAAAATCTTTTTGAAAATTAATCAAAACTAAAATATTTTGATAATATGTTTTGATAATTAAATATGATAAAAACAACAAGAAAAGAAAATGATAATTTTGCTGAGTTCACTTCTCTCGAGTTCGAGATTACTTACTCTTTTCTTGTGCAATGCACTATCTTATCCTGCACCAAGCTCTTCACATTCCCACAAAATTGCATGTTCTGCACAAAATCTCAAAAAATCCCACAAATTCTTGTCAGATCTTCACGTGCCATATATCTATGAATTCAACACCACAAGCTCCATACACTATTGTCACGTTACTATTTGGGATATCATAGATGTTCTAATCCCATATATTCTCTTTGGGGTGGACCTAGACGTTCCATTCCCATATGTACACTTTGGGATAGGCGTAGACATTCTATTCCTATATATTCTCTTTGGGGTGGACCCAGATGTTCCATTTCCATATGTACTTTTTGGGATAGACATAGACGTGTTATTCCCATATATTCTCTTTAGGGCAGACACTCCATTCCTATATGTACTCTTTGGGATAGGCATAGACATTCTATTCCCATATATTCTCTTTGGGATGGACCCACACGTTCCATTCCCATATGTATTTTTTGGGATAGGCATAGACGTTCTATTTCCATATATTCTCTTTGGGGTGGACCCAGACATTCCAGTCCAATATTTACTTTTTAGGATAGTCATAGACATCCTATGCCCATACACACTTTTTGGGATAGGCATAAACGTCTTATTCCCATATGTGCTTTCTTTGGGGTAGGCCCAGACGTCCTATTCCCATACACACTTTTAGGATAGGCATAGACGTCCTATTCCCATATGTGCTTTCTTCAAGGTAGGCTCAGGCGTCCTATTCCCATACACACTTTTTAGGATAGGCATAGACGTCCTATTCCCATATGTGCTTTCTTCAAGGTAGGCTCAGGCGTCCTATTCCCATACACACTTTTTAGGATAGGCATAGACGTCCTATTCCCATATGTGCTTTCTTCAAGGTAGGCTCAGGCGTCCTATTCCCATACACACTTTTTAGGATAGGCATAGACGTCCTATTCCCATATGTGCTTTCTTCAAGGTAGGCTCAGGCGTCCTATTCCCATACACACTTTTTAGGATAGGCATAGACGTCCTATTCCCATATGTGCTTTCTTCAAGGTAGGCTCAGGCGTCCTATTCCCATACACACTTTTTAGGATAGGCATAGACGTCCTATTCCCATATGTGCTTTCTTCAAGGTAGGCTCAGGCGTCCTATTCCCATACACACTTTTTAGGATAGGCATAGACGTCCTATTCCCATATGTGCTTTCTTCAAGGTAGGCTCAGGCGTCCTATTCCCATACACACTTTTTAGGATAGGCATAGACGTCCTATTCCCATATGTGCTTTCTTCAAGGTAGGCTCAGGCGTCCTATTCCCATACACACTTTTTAGGATAGGCATAGACGTCCTATTCCCATATGTGCTTTCTTCAAGGTAGGCTCAGGCGTCCTATTCCCATACACACTTTTTAGGATAGGCATAGACGTCCTATTCCCATATGTGCTTTCTTCAAGGTAGGCTCAGGCGTCCTATTCCCATACACACTTTTTAGGATAGGCATAGACGTCCTATTCCCATATGTGCTTTCTTCAAGGTAGGCTCAGGCGTCCTATTCCCATACACACTTTTTAGGATAGGCATAGACGTCCTATTCCCATATGTGCTTTCTTCAAGGTAGGCTCAGGCGTCCTATTCCCATACACACTTTTTAGGATAGGCATAGACGTCCTATTCCCATATGTGCTTTCTTCAAGGTAGGCTCAGGCGTCCTATTCCCATACACACTTTTTAGGATAGGCATAGACGTCCTATTCCCATATGTGCTTTCTTCAAGGTAGGCTCAGGCGTCCTATTCCCATACACACTTTTTAGGATAGGCATAGACGTCCTATTCCCATATGTGCTTTCTTCAAGGTAGGCTCAGGCGTCCTATTCCCATACACACTTTTTAGGATAGGCATAGACGTCCTATTCCCATATGTGCTTTCTTCAAGGTAGGCTCAGGCGTCCTATTCCCATACACACTTTTTAGGATAGGCATAGACGTCCTATTCCCATATGTGCTTTCTTCAAGGTAGGCTCAGGCGTCCTATTCCCATACACACTTTTTAGGATAGGCATAGACGTCCTATTCCCATATGTGCTTTCTTCAAGGTAGGCTCAGGCGTCCTATTCCCATACACACTTTTTAGGATAGGCATAGACGTCCTATTCCCATATGTGCTTTCTTCAAGGTAGGCTCAGGCGTCCTATTCCCATACACACTTTTTAGGATAGGCATAGACGTCCTATTCCCATATGTGCTTTCTTCAAGGTAGGCTCAGGCGTCCTATTCCCATACACACTTTTTAGGATAGGCATAGACGTCCTATTCCCATATGTGCTTTCTTCAAGGTATATGCCTAAATCCACCAAATCAACCCACCAATTCAACTCAAAATCACTTGAAATTTTGCCAAATCCCTCCCACTACACTTAATTCCAAAAGCCCAAGTCCAAAGTCCAAGTCTAAATCCCACATGAGAATTATTTCCCTTCATCGTCCATTTGATTAAAATCATTCCTAAAGTCCTAAATACAAAATCAAATCATTCCATATCAAGCATCATGCCAAATTCCACCAAAATATTTCATATTTAAAAAATCCCTCTTCATGAAAGTTGACCAAGTTAAGGAATATGAAAGTTGACCAAGCCAAGGACAAGCCGTGGAGACAAGTCATGGAGCCACTTCCAAGCCATATATAAGCCATGAGAGCCATGTCACATCATCAAGTTATTATTGGAAAGAGGCTAAACCACTTTTAAATATCATTAAGATTCTCTTAACCCCTCCCATGAATCACTCTAACCCATGTTTAGCCAAATATCCTTAGATAGAGACTTCGCTATGCTAATTTAAGTTGAACCTCCTAATTTCCCTTAGCACCCAAAAGAACCTTGGTGGGTAAACCCAACCCAAATCCATGACTTGTCCCAAATTAACCCAAAATAACCCTTCCCCCATCCTATTTTAATTCGATGCCTTTACACATGAATAACCCCAATTGACTTCCCCAAAACCAAGCTCTGACCTCCCTCAGTGGGATGGTGACCCCTCCCTGGCCGGCCAGTCACATTAGTGGCCGGAAAACCCATATTCAAAAGCACCACCATGGTTAAAACTCAAAATTAAACTCATCCAAGTTAGCTCATCCCAATTTGACTTTTGCACATTGTTGGCATTCACGTAAGAAACTTAGACACCCACCAATTGCCTTTTGTGGCCTCACCTTCCCCATCTACTTAAACCCCCCCCCCCCCCATGGCCAAAGGAGGGGAACTTTAAATTCCTTGGGGAGAGTTCAGCAAAATGATACCATTCCTTCAATAGCCTCCTTGAGACCTGTTGAACATAACACGACCCTCCTTGGCCACTCAAATCCACAACTCGAGCTTAATTTTGGAGCTCAATCCCTAGGCCAAAACATGAAACTTCTCAAATATCCACCAAATTCAAATTAGTTTCACCCACACGTTCCTCACAACAAGAGAGAAAGACCCCCCCATAAAAGCCCCGTCATTAGAGCACCCTAAGGTGGACTGTGATCGAAGCCCCAATTCGGCCTTGGTCGAATTCATATCTAAGCGATTCACCAACTCTTGAGGTTCAATCCCTAGGCTCTTGGGACCACCACGAAGCTTCCACAAGCATCCAATAGAGGCTTCCCCTCTTGGACCAAGGTATTGAAACTTAGCCCTAAATCAAGCTTCATTTGATTCTCCATGAGCATAAAGTTGATTTAGGGTGCGATTAACCATATGAATGTGTGCATCTCATCGAGATGAGTTGATAGGAACAAACCTCACTTGATTTGGTTGAGTATCAAGCAAGATAATAGGGTTTGAAAATGGACAATTTATGGGCCTGATTCATTGGGGATGATGACCATGCGCCGTCTGATCTTTTGTGTATCCATTGGACGTTCCTGATTGCACTGAACAGAGCTATGGTTCAAAAAGGGAGAGCTGATATGGACGGTGATGCCCAATCCCGCAGCGTAACACGTCTCTTTGTCGCGTATGAGGCTTATGTGGATAAGTAGAAAAATACCAATGACCATGCGCCGTCTGATCTTTCGTGTATCCATTGGATGTTCCTGATTGCACCGAATAGAGCTATGGTTCAAAAAGGGAGAGCTGATACGGACGGTGATGCCAAATCTCGCAGCGTAACACGTCTCTTTGCCGCGTATGAGGCTTATGTGGATAAGTAGAAAAATACAGAATTTTTTGTTTGAAATAAATAGTCACAACTTCAAAAATCCAAAACTTTGTGTAGAAAAAACATAAAAGAAAAATAAAAATACCATGAAGAGAGGAAAATAATGTGGAAACATTTTCAAGTTTTTTTTATACATATTTTATTTTTAATTAATTAAATGGTGTTTTTCTCATTTGGATTCTCCATTTGGATAGACATTTCATCATGAATTGATCTTTGGGGCATTGATTCTACATGTTGTGAGGATGCTCTTTCTTATTTTTCTAAGGTTAGGGGAGATCTCTAGGCA